GGTCATTAGCTTTTAATTGCCCACTGTTGAATATAATCCTTTCCTAATACCTTCCAGAGAATAGGGGAAGGACACTCCTCAAATAGAGGCCACGGATGGGGACAGCATAGGGCGTCTTACTAGGTGGACCGGACATAGTGCGCATGGCGGAAAGTCGTTAGATGCGAGACCACATCCCGTGAAAGAATGTTTATTATGTTAACAAAATTTTCACTTATATGCATTGCTTGCAACGTATACATTTCTACTACATATGTAATAATGTAGTATTGTATTATATGTGACATGTATAGGCTGTATATACAAGACTTAGCTAAGTCTAATGTGCTAAGACTTTTGTCCCTAATAACAAGAAACAAAGAATTCCTTACAAATCCTTTATCTTAGTCCACCATGCGTAACGAGCGTCCTATTTTTAGTCAAGATTTAGTTAAAGAGGATAACATATAGTCGGTAAGATCACTAAGACCTTTAGCGTTGCTCTGCAATATTTCTCTGCTAAAAACAAGTTCTTAGTCGACTTAAACTGTCTCTTCCTTTAATCGCTTTAGTAGATTAATTGCCTTATAACTGGGTTCAGTAACTCAGTGTAAATGTGAGTTTATATTTCTAAAATTTTAGTTAATTCCCAAAACTAAAAATGTTATACTATGTAACTAAGATTATACGTGCGACAGTTTAGATGGATGGATGTTTGTTACAAGGTATCTAACTAGGGTAATCCGACTCTCTCTGCCAGCCCCTGACAACCATTGTAGTACTTATATTTTATTTTATACACTTAACATTAATTAGCTACGATATTAATCTGTATCTTGTTGGAAAATAAATCAGTGAGTCGTGTTTAAATACAGGAAAGCTTGTATTTTCCCCTTTGTATATAAAGTTAATACAAACAAAACTTAGTAACTTACATTGAAGCTAACCGTGTTCATTAACAAAGTAATAAAATGTCTAACGACCCAGAAATAATTAGATTAAATTTCAGCTATTATTGCTGAAACAATGCGGTTTATGTTTATCAAAATAATATAAAATAAGACATTACCATAAAAAGTTCGGACGATTTTTCAAATCTATTTTAGCTTAAACATACGTCAACTCTTTTACACCGTGACTCTAGCGCCAGGCGCGGATTATTGACAAATAATGGTTATTAAAACTTTATCATACGCAGGTTAGCAAAGTGCGCTCTTTAAAAATATGGGAACGTTTATACATACAACCACGTTGACATGCATATTAGTTTCGATATGACTAGAATACAATACAGGTCTTGAGTTCGAATCCCGACATGTACTAATGTGATTTTCGATTTTCGAATTCGAGTTTAAGAAAAAAGACATCGTACTGATGATAAGTAATCACCTCTCTACTCTTAGCATACTCAATGTCGGCGCATCAAGCTTTCGTCGTCCAGAATGATTTGTCGTCCATCATCTCCGTTATCCCTAAATTATGTAATTTTTTACACAATCCATCCATCTCTGCTACGCTTCCCCACATGTTCCTCACTTCCACATTGCATATAAGCGAATATTTTTAATTTTAGTGAACATTCAAAATACTGAAAAAAAAACCTTTAACAATTGCATCCTCGCGCAATTTTAAATCATAACAGAGTTTGAACGAAAGCTGCACAATAGAATTTACTTGTTTTTCGTTTTTGTTATGCAAATGTTTGTACGTCGCTTCGTGCAAATGAAAAAATACTATAATGTGTGTTTACAAAAGAACATTTAAAAAGTATTTTAAAATCTTTAAACAAAGAAAAATTTTCATGTGATGTTATTATGATATCTAATATACAGTGTACACTCTAAAACTACTAAAAAGGCAATATCAAAACAGTCTACATCAATAGTATTCTCTTTATCAACTGCTTAGTATTTGCTTAGATTTTATTTTGACGTCTATCTATTTCTCAAACGCAACTAGAATTATTTGTTCGTTAAATAATGACTATAGAAAATTTATTTGTACAGAAGACGAATTGTGTTTGTATATTGTGATTTATTCAATTACATTGTAATATTAAGGTAAATAAAACTTTGTTGTTACTTTTTAGGAATCATTACAAGTTATTATTCTTACAACAAAATTTTAAGTACATAAATTATATACTGTATCACCTATACTAATATTAGATTTGATTGTTTACTTCTTTGCAATAGGCTCCAAATCTTCTGAAAGATTTCAAAATTTCTTTCGCTATCATAAAAACATTGGGTATCACTTTTAACTGGATTTTTTTCGCGTTAACGAAGTTGCGGGTAAAACACTTAAAATGCTCGTTTACTAGCATTGTAAGTGTTTAAGCACTACAAAGCCAAGTATAATAGTGATATTATCTACAGGAAAATACTCTAAAATATTCAAGTTATCGAGTTTCAATACTTGGTATAAGTTGAAATGATTCGTCGAATGTTTGCGGCGACGACGTTATGAATATGCAACTAACTGGTTGGCAAAATCTGCGGAAATGCAATTAAACTTTTCCAAACAGTTATAGTTCGCATTGACAGCGATTCCTGATTTTGCTAATGAGTTTAAATTTAACATTAGTTTTATTGTTGTTTGATTTATAATACCTTTTTAAAAACAGAAAATTTAAGCAGAAACATTATTTTTGAATCTTTACAGACACATAACCTTATTTGACTTCTTTTGTACACCATACCATACATTAATCAAGAACTGTTTTTTTAAGAATGCATAGACAACAAAGACTGTTTTTTTTTAAGAACGCATAGACCACATAGACTGATTTTTTTAAGAACGCATAGACAACAACATTGTTTTTTATTACTATAGTAAATGTTTTCATTATATTAATTGAAAGCAATGTTCAATGTATACACGAGTACGTAATTATTTATTATGCAAATGGGACGCAGATGGGTACTTTTGTTGGATAATAAATCATCGTGAATGAAGTACAAAAATCCCCTGTCCCATAATATTATTAAACCGAAAGATTTCGTCGTATTTCACTGGTATTACTCGAATGTTTAACACATTTTTTATTACAATAACCTTTTTTACGTTAATGGTAAAAAATTTAAATGATGTTCAATTTCACTGTTTTTAATTTCACAGCTATCTTACTTCTTACTAATGATATAAATGCGAAAGTTTAGATGGATGGATGTTTGTTAGATGTAGCCTAAACGGATGAACAGATTTCGATAAAATTTCGCATAGACATAGTCTGAGGCTACTCACTTCATTTTTTTTATTTTCACGCGGATGTAGTCACGGGCGAAAGCTAGTTATGTATTAAGACGTTTTCATTAAACCTGATAAGTATAATTATATATTTTGGGATGATATAAATACAGTTTTTCTACGTACGGTGTATTTTAATTAGAAATTCGATATGTGTAGGTTATATTTTTCTTTTAAAATTTACCATCTCTTGTTTATATTTTATTATGCCATATTCAATGTAATTAGGTCACCAATGCTTCAATAAAGAAAAGTGCTGTTTTACGACTATACTCAGGAAGTAACGTATAGAGTGCTAAGGGAATTTTATTGCACTACGTCTTATATTATTATCCCGAACTTTTTAGTATCAATTCTTATGTTTATTTTGTATAATATATCATACATACAACTATATCAAATTATAAGGTCACTGTAAAATTAATTTTTGACTTACTAATATTTTATTTTACTAAAATTGCTTAATAAATTATTTGACTAAATGTAATCTTGCCACGATACGGATTAATAGTTATTTACTTATTTTAACTACAAGACTAAAGTAAATACTCTTTATAGTTTTTCTTTATTTTTCATCTTATTTTGTATTGTGTTTGTTTATGATTATACCGTTAATAATTATCCTATAAAAAGAGAAAAATAGACTAAAATAGGCATTTACTAAACTAGCGCGTACAATATTTTAACAATTTTTTTAAATATTTTAGTCGTGATCAATATCATTGACTTATTTCAATACCTAAGAAAAAAAGTTTATTTTCTATCCCTTGCTTACCTTCGGTTTACTACTTTTATCTTTCCTTTTTTAATTTCTCTTCCTTTTTTAAAATACGTAAGAAAATATTTCAATTAAAACAGTATAAAACAAAAACAGCTGTCTCAAATAATTTCCTACTTCCTCGTTCAAAATGATTTACCGCCGAGCATAACGCCCCCTAATTTGCATTCCGTCTAAAATATAAATGATCATAGCCGTCTTAAATTTAATTTATAATAGCAAATATTATGCTATTAAAAAAATAAATTATCTTTATACTACATTTAAAATCTAGTTGCAAAACAATTGGATCAGAGAGAGGAAAATAACTATGTAATAAGAGACTGGAAATTATAACTTATATCTTTAGTTTTAAATGCTTAATTTCATGTAAAGTCGATCTAGGATCTATACTCGTATATCTAAGTAATTATTATACTTATATCAGGAAAAATTACTCGGAAATACACAATTTTACTTTATCCACGCTTGTACGGTAATAAATAGGAAAAAAGTGAACAATCACATTAAATATTATCAGAAGATGAGATCGGGAACAATATTATTACGTTATTACGTACTCCAAGCTAATAAACTGCCGCTCCTTTGATGTAATAACACGTATTCAGCAAATTATTAGATAAACCGCATCACAAAGCTATAGTTACTCGTAGTGTATTCGATGAAAGGATAAATTAATGTGAAAAAAATGATCTACATAATGTTATACTAGCTTTAACAAAAGTAGCCTATATGTTCTTCCAGACTATTACAGTAAATTCTACGTCTATGCCAAATTTCATCAAGATCCGTTCAGCCGTTTAGGCTACAAACTTTAACAAACAACCTTCCATCCAATTAAACTTTTGCATTTACAATTTAACTATTCAAATTATAATATTGGTAAGATTAAAATATTTTTACTAGTAAAATAATGATTTATATTAAATAATTCTGCATTGTTGATCTAAGAGCAATATAGATTTCCATCTATGGATGTCTATAGATCAATGACATGAATTTACTTACTTACGATTAACTTCCCACAATAATTTTCTTACAGCTAAGTTTTTTAATAGTCGTTAAAAAGCGTTGAGATTGGAATAAAATTTTAATTACCTGTCAAAAGCATTGTAAACAGCTGGTGATATTTTCGTAGCTTATAAAATAAATACATTATATAATTGTAGTACCTGTTTTCAACATTTATTACTTAGCTTAATCGCCTTTTTAGTAAATCAAAATCTATATGTATAAAAGACAGTCGTGTTAGTTAAACTATTTATAACTTAAGAACGGCTCTACCGATATGGCTGAAAATTGGTGAGGAGGTAGCTTAGTGCCAGGAGACGGACATAGGATACTATTTATTCCGTTTATGGATGATGTTTCACTCTCGATGAAATTTGGCACAGATGTAGAGGATAGTCTGGAAGAAAACATAGGCTGTTTACTTTTGTTTTTTTTTTACACGCGGACGGAGTCGCGGGCGAAAGCTAATTTAGAATAAAACACTTATCGATTTATGTTGCATTGTATATAAGAGACAGAATTTATCAGGAAAGCTGTTAAAAAGCATCTGAAGAGCTAAAGACTATAGCTCGTTATCTTGTTTTAATCTCAGCACTTAAGAGATTCGTTAGCCACAGAGGTTCAGGCGTTAAACCTTCTTTCACCCTAAGCACCACTCCAGGCCAAGGGAACTTTTATAATACGGATGAAAGTAGACAAAAGGGGCCACTTAAAATTTATGAATGCAAAGTTTTAAAGTACCGAACAAGGCTATAATAATTTTAATTTTGTTTTCGAATAAAACTTCTAACTTCTTAAAGATTAGGCTTCGGCTTTCTTCCAATTTTATAAAGAAAACACTGTCAGTTTGATTGATAGAAATATTTGTTGCTACATATTCTCTATGTACAATTCTCTATAGATACACTGCAACATAAAGCATTGATTCAAAGAGTCGTATTTCATTGAAATCACTAACAAAAGTGTTTGTGAAGTCAGAGGTCCTTCAGTATCAATTCCATCCAACTGTCGTCCGCTTCAACGCAAACCAAAGGCAAGTGGAGATCGAGTAAACCCGGGGTGACATCCGATACCGCATTGTTCCCGGACCTCTTTGTCCCACGAAATGCATCCGACGTCCAACTGAATTAAACCTATTAACTTTATCAAGGTGTCATTTTGAAATTTAATTCATTTTCAATATTTGTTCCATACTTTTACGGATGAGACTATTTGAAATTGTTTTCTAAATAAAGGTTAAACTTATTGAATGAATAGTTTCATAAAAATAATATTCAAGTATGCATCACAAAGTCGAACGTTGAAATAAGATCGTCGGTGGCTTAGGGGTTTGAACACTTGACTTGAAATCTACAGCTCTGAGGTTCGAATTTCGTGATTTACCAATGTGTTTATATATACATAATTTACCCGAAGTATACGTAGAAGAATACGTTGAAGAAAAACATCGGGATGCATACTGCACACGTCAGCGATGAAATTCAAAGATATGTGTGAATTAAACTAAACCTCAGCGGGCCAGCGTGGTTGACTATGGCTTAGTCACCGGGTAGGTCAAGGGTAGGGTCCGAGTCCCTCAGTGGCGACGTATAGCGAGCTGGTGATGAAGATACATCACAATGGAACACATTTTACATGAAAGAAATAAAATATAACGTGGTATTAATTAAAACAAACTGACATATTTTATCAAATTAGCTAGCCTTCTCCCCATCTCCAAGTCTCTATAATAAATATCACTTAGTCAAACAGTGCTGGTATGGAAGTTAGTCAACCAAACTTGGCAATGTATTAAGTACTACAAGTCAAACTCTGCCATAGTATCTTGTTGGTAACTTACGAACATTCAAAGTTGCTCGCATGTGACCGCTTGTTTTGTAACTAATATGCTACTGCTCGTTTAGATTATTGTCATGGATTGTTATGCCAATAGAAGTTTATAGACAATATAATAGTTATTATTAAAGAAACTTATAAACCCAATCATCTTGTATTGTATGTACGAGTATATCACTATCTGGTAATATGAATCGAAAATCTAAATTGATCAAGATGGTTACACCACAAGAGTTTAGATTCTGTTAGTAGATTAAAATAAAGTTAAATTCGTTAGACAAGGTCGAATACTTGCGTATTATTGGACCTTGTTTTTAATGTTAAAATGCAACAAAACAAATCATTCTATTCCAATTAGTATCATGACTAATACATAACTTCGTACTTATGTGTAATCTCGTAAAGATCAATTCCCAAGTTATAGAAAAACTTCTTATGAAAGTTACAGTAAATCCTAAAGTTGTGATACTAATTCCTTGCGATTGTTGCTAAACTTACTAAGAACTACTTACACATAACTTATTATCTACTGACTATATGAGTTATTTCGCTAAAGTTAAAGCCAGTTTGAAAATAACTAGCGCCAGTGATGGAGAAATTGAGAAGCTAAATGTTAGCATAGCATAAACTTCTCTTTATAAAGGAAATGAGGACAAAGAAGCAGTGAATCGCTTAATATCAATTGATAACCTTGGACAACAGTAAAACTTGAAGAACTGCAGATGGGCATATAATACAGAAAGAAGATAATCAAGTGAACAAAAATGTAGCATGGTTTCAAAGGTAGAGGAAGACTGAAGAAAGCATGTAAAAATTGGAAGAGGACATGCGTATAACGGGACAGAATTCAAATGTGACGGCTGATAGAGACGTATGGAAGTGTAGTAATTATGTACTGAAGTTAAATTCAGAATAATGTAAAGGTAAGAGAATAAATAAAAAAGAACCTGGCCTTCGGAAAGTAGATAACACTTATGGTTACTATATTAATTTTATTATATGTAAGAGAAAACGCTATTAAAATTAATAATAATAGGGCTAGTAAAGTGCTGAATGTTGAACGCAGATAATTGGAATCAATTTCTCTATAATTATGACCTATTATCTTTTATAACAAGCCAATATTATCTGTACTAATTGTTGCATAAAATTGGCTTATAGATAAATAATTCTAAAATAATGAACTACTAATTTACCAATTATAAATATGCATTGTAAAATTCAGTATATCGTTAATCTGACCTGACTTTTGTTCTGAAATCATTCTCCTTTAGCCAATCTGGAACGTCCTATTTTCATGAACATTTTCGTGTATTTTGTGACATGGAATTTAAAAAAAATGTACTTTAGAATTTAAGAATTTTCAATATGGTTACGCTGTCAAAGGACCGTATGGGGTTGATGTACACCTTTATGAATATTAATTTCGACATCGAGACGAAGTGAAAAAATGTTTCATAAAATCGAGAAGCGAGATTATGCAGACATATCTAACAGTCACAATATACAGTGTTATGAGACAGTGTTTCAACAAAAGAATTACCATGTAGTTATTTTAAAATAATAAATAAGCGTGAAATTATGGACTTAACAGTGCTAATGCCCGCTTTAACATCTTAGCACGAATGGGCCGGCACGCCCGGTGTAATACCACGACCACACAGAAGACAGGCGTGAAATGGAAGCAA